CCCACCCGCGCGTCTTTCCATTTTTTTTTGTGTTATAAATGGGCAAAAAAAAAAGTGGAAGGGGGGGGGGGCCCTGGGAGGCCCGCACCCAAAACCCAAAAAAAAATAACCCCAGTACCCCCCCCCCCCCCCCCGGGGGTTTCACACGAATCGGCCTTCTTTCCACTCGAGAGCAGTGAATCCACTCACCGAAAATTCTAATAAAACTATTGAAAATGCGACCCCATTACCAGTCAATCCAGTCGGGAAAAGGCGACCCCATCTAGTGGCACATCCCCATAAGCCTCTTGTAAGGAAGTACCCCCGCCCCCCTCCGCGATAGCCTCCCACGCAGGCCTTTTATTTTTTGTCCCTAAAAAAGCCTGCGTGGGGGAATAGGCAGGCGCAAGAAAGGAAGAAGAGCGCAAAAGGGAAAAATATCTGAATTTGAAAGGACGGGGCCTTAATTCGCCCGCATATCAACTCCATACTGTTTTGTCTGATAAAACTAACTGGAATTCGCTCAGTTTTCGAAATGGAAGCTTCCGACATTTTGCCTAGCAAATGAGATATCCATTGGTGTTACTTTTGTAATGGTTGTCAGATCCAAAATGGAGAAAACGCCGGATCATGCTCGTTGCAAGGTCAAGCACATCCACCCGCTACTACAGGCCTTGCAGGTGCTGCTCGGTAGCCTCGGACAGAATATTACTTTAGATCGTGAAATTTTTAGTAACCTTTACGAGATCATTAACGTTTTTTTAAATTTAGGCCATTTGTTGAGATATTCGTATCTAGGCTTATCCGATTCCCAAATTGCGCGCCTTTTTTCAGTGTATTCTGCGAAGCAAAAAGTTCAAGTCTATTTGAACTTTGGCACGGGTATCTTTAATTAGTAAAATCCAACTAGTGGTCTATTATCAATGCTGCCTTCTGATTGGTTGAGCTACTACTAGGCTATATGTTATAGCCCACTAGTAGCGAAAAGCGCGGGCTTTTTGGCGGCAAAAAGGATTAAAGTCTAGCTTTAACCAGCTAAAATTTTTTTATTCTCGATATTTTTGACCAACTAGTTGGATTTTACTAAAACAATTATTCCTCTCGCCCTCATGGCCTCTGACTAATGACTCAGAGCCCATTCGGGCTCGAGGAATAATTGTTAAACACCATACCTGTAACTGCAATGCTTGCACCCGTGACATAACTACTTTTATCAGATACAAGGAACACAACCACATCAGCTACGTCTGCGAACATTCATCCCCAACGACAGTAAAACATGTAGAAAAAAAGGAAATGGTCAGTCAATTTGAAATGTTTTATCCCTATTTGTAATAGAAGAGATGAAAGAGACTATTTTCCCCAAAACTTTGGGTTCATATTAAGGGCAAAAAAAACTCGCCATATGGCAAGTTTCATGGGTTTTTATTTCCACTTTCTGGCAAATTTCCAGACCTAAACTTCGCCCATATGTTCAATAAATTATATTAACTCATCTTACATGAAACCCACACGTGACACAAATAGTGAGCCTGGGTTTTGTGGGTTACCTGTGCTCTAGCTATTTCCTGCGTGCTTTACGGAAAAACACAGCACAGTTAGGGCTTCTTTATTTGTTAATCATGAAAGCATATTTGTGCCTCAATCCACAGCAATACATGGAGAAGATAGAACGGAAAAGTGGGGAAGCAAAAAGATCAGAAGAAAAAAGGTGGAGAACATACCGTAAAATTCCAAAAATAAGCCCTGGGGCTTATATTTTTCAAAGGCCCTTTTTGAGGGGCTTATTTTTGGAGGGGCTTATCTTCGGAGGGGCTTATCTACGGAGGGAAATTTGCGTTTCAAAATCGATTGGGCTAGCCTTATAGTTGGAAGTAAATTTACCGTTTTTGTTTTGTTTTACTTTGTATTTGAGGGCAATTTTCCAAGTACAAGCCCCCGGGGGCCTTATATTTGGAGGGGCGATTTAACGGAGGGTTTTTTGCGTTACTGGTTTGGGGGGCTTATATTTGGAGGGGCTTATTTTCGGAATTTTACGGTATCTGCAACTCCTCAAACTGAAAGTCTACAGTTCGTACCTGATGGCCGACCAAACCTCTGCAAAGGAATCTGTTCTTTTATCTTTAAAAATGAAATAAAATAAAATAAATATTGATAGCATAAGCGGGTTGGAACTAGCCTGGGAAAATAGAGATATCACATTCAGGATTAAACTCTCTCACCAAAATTTGCTTGCAATATTTGTTCGCATTTTAAGCAAAAACGCTTCACAACTCCCAAAATGTTTTCAGACACCAAGTTAATGGCAAATACCATAAAACCTCTATTAATCCCCCCAGGGACTTACTTATTTCAAGCCCATTAGAGGAATGGACTGTCTTGATAGAGATGGGGGCTTACTCTAATTTAGAAAAGACAATGGTATCAGTTCTCCATAAAGAACTAGAATACAAAGTGGAAAAGCTCAAGAACAAGAAGGTTGCAGGTCATGCAGCCGAGGATCAGAATCAAATCCGAACTTCCAGTTGGTAAATAAACCATCCTGGATTAATCCACACAAAGTTTTACAGTCGTTTACAGTTGTGATTGACTGATACAGTCTTTCATTTATTAGTGAGGAATAATTTTTTCTTTCTTCCCCTGACAAGGTGGGGGGGGGGGGCCTATTAGAGGGAGGGGGCTTATTTGGGAGGGGGGAGTAGGGGCTTGAGATCTGATTTACGGTATCGCAAGGAAACAAATTTCACAAAAGTAAAGACTTACAAAGAAACGGCAAAGAAGGCCCTCGAGAAGGTCGCAAATTTAGCAACAATTGCAAAAGTAACAAAAACCTTTCGTTGTAAAAAAAAGACAAGTAAACAAATATCACCCTGCCCAAGAAGCCCCCTGCCAGTGGTCGCATACTGGTCACATACCTGTTCTTTGACTTCTTCAGGAATGGAATCTGTTGTCGGAGTTTCAATGAAACCAGGTAAAACTGTGTTATACCTTACACCAAACCTGTGTCACATAATAGAGCAAAAAGTTCAGATTGTTCAAATTTAATCAGCAAATGACAGCACTCTAAAAGAATAACATCTGTTTTTAACAGGTAACACTGACTATTCCCAATCCATTGGCACTGCTGCCAAGTTTGAAAGTGACATGTTGAAACTAACGATGATGATGCTTCACAAAGTCATGAAATTTTCAGACTCACCTTTGTATAGTACGTTACAGTGTGAAGGGGGGGGGGGGTACCCTTTCAGCAAAGCTGTTCAATCGCTTACTGGAATCTAGCCCAAAAAAATGTGCATAAAGCAAGGAAGATTTTTGTTGAGCACATGCTCCTTGTTGCTAGAATTTTTGTTTTAAAACCAGACACATTTATTTCTGCAAAGGTGATTGTACAACGTGAAAATTAACTTTGTAAGAAATCAACATGACACCAAAAGGACCTGGGGTTGTAGCTGTAGACAGCTGTTTCGCCGTTCTGGGGCTCATCAGTACGGCACAATAAACAGAGAAGCTCTGTTTTCGGTTTTTTGTTGTGCTGATGTCTTGCAAAGTTAATTTTCATGCAGTACAATCACCTTTGCAGAATTCAATCATGTGTCTACTTTACATATTTTTGCTGATCAGGGCTTCTATGGATCCTACATTCTACGGCATAATCGTTTGCGGTCCTTTTCGAAACCAGGCCTAATAGCTGTGAGCTTGGTTTAGTGGCTCAGTTGTGACCTTTGCTTTATTAATAAATGGATGCTCGTACTCAAGAAACCAGTTTGAAATGAGAAAACGAGAGGGCAAAGGTGTGTTCATCAAGAAACTCTCCCTCGATCTGCCACTGTTTTAGAGGAGATGAAACATCTGTGTGAGAGGAGAGGTACTCTCCACAATAGCCTTCACAATGAGCCTCCATCGTAACTAACTCCTGTCAGGAAATATCCCTGCTATTCATGCAAATATAGCGCAGCTTTCACGCACATGCATAACCCAGAGCGAGCAACTTCCATGTGCTTGTGTCACAGCGTTTCTGATGGACCAGTTTATTTTTAGAGCGGTTTTGGCACAAATTTTCAATATCTTTTTAAATTCCACAAACCAGTTAGTAAAAATATCTACAGACCTAAAAATAATATTTTTTGTCCTTTAATAACGTTTAGTTTTCCTTTTTGACATATTATACTTTAAATGAGCTCATAGACATGTTGAAGGTTCTATTTTTGGTGGAAAAAAGTGCCCTAAAATGTGTCTAAAAATAAACTGGTCTGTAAAAACACCATGACATAGGCCTAGTGTGGGAGTTGCTCGCTTCAGGTTATGGGCTCCCGGTTATCTATACAACCAAGAAAATTTTGTCCGTCTGTACTGCAGGCAAACCAATGTAAAATGTCACATTTTTTAGCGCCTGTAACATGCATTTAACTTGATAATAGACGAGGTTTGTCCAATACCGTCTACTTGAATCCAGTCATATCCCCTTGCTTTCCATCGGAAAACCGGAAGTCATAATAGACATCCATGTTATGGGCAATTGACAGCTTTCAAAACAGGGTATCCGCTGACCAGAACTACATGACCATATCACAGGCTCAAGTCTTAACTTTTCGAAGTCACATGCTTTTTGAGCTTGTCTGCTGACCAGTTATTAGCTTTTGAATGATCACAGGCTCAACTGCACGTTTTTCAGCTAGTTGTTAAAAGTCATATGGTCGTCGTATAAACATAACAACTTTCTTTAATTTTTTATGGTCGTAAAGTTAAGTATAGATTTGTGGATTTCTTTGCAAATGGTTCTAAGTTCACTGTCTAAAACAAATTATAAATGCATAAATGGGAGCTTCGCTTTTATTTCTGGCTATATCTATATATTTACCAATATAATCTATATACTTTGAACTGTGAAATACAATGTACATACTTTCCAAGTCCTTCAGAAATTAACCGTGTTAGAACGTTAATTTCAACTTTGGAACCAGGAAAATTTGCTTCACCAACATCTACAACACGCTATTTTAAAGAAGAAAAAATAATATTATAAATGTCATACTACTAGAAATACATGTATCGCAGAACCTCTCAATACCCAGGGGAGGACACCCGTAAAATGTCAGGGATAGGAGGGCAGGAGAGAAATAGAGTAAATTGTGTACCTGGGGCAGGCGGATTTTAACACTGGCTCTAACACTGGACAGTACGATATACTCAATCTCCTTTTGGTTGGAGTAAATTTGAACCCAGTGCTCTAGCGTTCAAAAGGATCTGGGACATTAAATGTGGTTGCTGTTATTAGGGAAGGGTGGCCAAAGCTGCATAGGTCCCTTGCTTGCACTGAAATTCATGTTGACAAGCATTCTCGCTCCATAGGAGTCTCAGTGAAATATCTTTCGTTGAGGATTTCCAGCCACTTTGTGAATCCAGCATTGTTGTGCTCGCTGTTGTGTGTCATTTGCATGGGAAAATTCTCATGATTCACCCACAGACAATGAATAAACGCATCAGCCCTTCATGAATGAATCGACAGCAAAGTCTATTAATGTTGCCTGCACACACAAAATGCTCCACAACGTTACCCTACATGATGTCATGGCAGACACCAAGAGATATATTCATAAGTAGTAAGAAATATGGGGCATCAGATTATGCAGTTTGCTAAGACAACGCATGTTTTGTGTGTGAGGAGATAAGACCACGTGCTCTTTGCGTGCAAAAAAAATACAAATCATCATCATCATCATTATTATCACTATAATCAACATTAGATCATGTAAATTTCTCTCACCTTTCCCAAAAAATTAGCATGTAAATTCACAACAGAACCATTTTTAACACCATGATCAACCATGACTTTTACAACAGCTTCAGTTATTGTAGTGGTCCCCTGGAAAAATAATATGCCACAGGAATATAAACAACATTGATTATTAATTTTAAAAATAATTTATCCAGAGCATATCTGATTACACAGTCATATCTAGTAAATATATCAGGAAGTCAGTTTGAAAAAAACACAGCAGTAGGTCATATGATGAAATATTTACTGACTGAGTTAGGTTGGGCCAGATGGGATTTATATTTGGGTCTCCTTGATCTGTAGTGTACGTCCTGACCTCGAGCCAAACATTTTCCTCTCTGGTCCTCCCACTCATTTAATAAGTCCTAAGAGCATAGTACCTTGAGATTGAGTAAAATGTTACCAGACTTCTCTTCATCCATGTCTAGTAAGACGTTATCACTGATGATGCCAGCACAATTGACCAAAATACAGGGTGGTTTCTTGTACACACTTATGATGTTCTCTAACACTTTAGAGATTTCCTCCTCACTTGACACATCTAAGGAATAGTTTTTGTGTTCCAAACTGGCATGTTTTGGTAAGCTGTCTAGTGTTTCCTGTGTCCCTTGACTGTTTTGATCTGTTACAATAACACCAGCACCCTCCGAGGCTAAAGCCTGACAGATGGCTCGCCCAATTCCACTAGCAGCACCTTAAATATCAAACAAATTTTAAGAGATACATGTAATTAAATCCAATCAGCAGTGTTCTAGCAAGAATAACACTTAATTAAAGCACAAATTACAGACGAATTTTTAGTCACTTTTATCATCAATAACACTGTTTTAGTTCCTTGCATCTTGGGTTGACTGCAATAGCAGGAATTTCCTTTAGTACTCAATATAGGCTCCTTGAAGGGCCCTTGTGTTTCTGGAACAATTTAAAGATGGCTGCCAATCAAAAAAACAAATGCATCACAGCTTTGAACATATTAATTCAGTGGTAAATCACCTTTAGCAATAACTTGGGAGAAAACACACAAACAAATGCACCAGACAATGTTTCATCAACTTTATTGAGTGATTTTGTCTTTGAAATACCTGTTGCTCCGCCTAGCCTAGGGAGAACACTGATTCAGAAGAATGGTAGCCTGCATCACAGTATCTGCTGGGCCCACAGATAACCCAGGTTCACTATTTGTGTCACATATGGGTTTCATATAACATGAGTAAATATAAAGAACATATGGGGTGAAGTTTAGGTCTGGAAATTTGCTGGTGAATGGAAATAAAAATCAATGAAACTTACCATGTGGCGAGTTGTTGTTGTCCTTAATATGCACACGAAGTTTCACCAGTACGTGACACAAATAGTGAGCCTGTGTTACCTGTGCTGGGCCTATATCCTTTATCTGGGCACCCAATGGAGTGAACAAATAATTGGAAATACATTGCAAATTACTCTTCAGCCTGATTAGCAAATCGTCAATGGCATTTTAAACAACAGGCCAATCATGAATCATCTTGGGCATGCAAAGCGAGGTGCTGAAGGTGCCTTGCCTCAAGAGGTTTATCATCTTGTTACGCGTGAAGTACGTGTACTGGGCGTGATGTTAGTGACCTGCAAAGTCAGCCAGCCAATCTGTCGTATGTATCGTGATGGTGTTCTTTAAATGCCATGAAATGGTTTACGTAAAGTTTTCACCATCAAAACAGCAGTCATTCTTCTGAAAAATATCTTTGAATTTGTGTTTAATAGGGCTCAATCAACATTATACAGGGCGCGCTGGTGGAAGTTCTAGGGGAAAGGGTTTTAATGAAAATTTTCGATACCTTCGCAGTGTGTTCCACGTGGCATAGTGGTAACGATACGACCCGGCGCTGAAGGTTCTGAAATTAGCACCTGTTTTTCTTTTTCTGTTCTCTTGTCTTCTCTTCTTTTTTTTTCTCTTTTCATTTTCGTCTAGTTTTCTTCTTAGTTATTATACTTTTGTTTTGTTTCTTTAAATAGCTTATGTTTTCTTAAATTTATAAATTTTCTTCCCTATTGCCTCATTTCCCTTTCAACTTCTTGCCCTTCCCCTGAAGTCCTTCTCGAGGTCCTGCGCGCGATTCACGTATTTCTAGTATAAAATATCTTTCTCCCCTTTTTAAATTCCTTAGGGATAGCTCATTGGCATCTATATAATGGGAAACCGTTACAGATTAAAGTTGTAGATGTAGATCACAAAACAAAGGCTTACCCGTAACTAATGCCAGACGCCCAACCAGACATCCTGAAGCCGCCATGTTGGAGGAAAGCTTGGAGGTATAGTTTCTGTTCATGTAAAATGACTGAAAAATGACCATCACTGGCCCCCTGACAATTTCATTGGTTTTCAGCCCCCAGTGTGAAAACCATTAATCCCCACTATCTAGGCAATAAGCCCCCGATATGAAAATCGATGAAAACTAACCTATGTTACCGGAGGCAAATATGATCGGTTGTTTCATTAATTCATTAGGTACCACAAATGCAGACCTTTTTATAGCCAATCCAACCTTCATACTCTATTCAAGGCTTCCGGCCCAAAAAAGCATCAAAATGTTTAAGACGCTAAATAATGAAATTGCCTGACCCTGTTTGACTTAAGACTCCGAAAACCATACCCTGTTCAGCGGCACTATACCCGTTTACTCAAAAAAAGATAGTGGTAANGGAGGAAAGCTTGGAGGTATAGTTTCTGTTCATGTAAAATGACTGAAAAATGACCATCACTGGCCCCCTGACAATTTCATTGGTTTTCAGCCCCCAGTGTGAAAACCATTAATCCCCACTATCTAGGCAATAAGCCCCCGATATGAAAATCGATGAAAACTAACCTATGTTACCGGAGGCAAATATGATCGGTTGTTTCATTAATTCATTAGGTACCACAAATGCAGACCTTTTTATAGCCAATCCAACCTTCATACTCTATTCAAGGCTTCCGGCCCAAAAAAGCATCAAAATGTTTAAGACGCTAAATAATGAAATTGCCTGACCCTGTTTGACTTAAGACTCCGAAAACCATACCCTGTTCAGCGGCACTATACCCGTTTACTCAAAAAAAGATAGTGGTAATGGCTCCCAAGGAGGGTCACCTCTTGACGAAAACGAACTGATGTTTGTTTTGTCCGTTTGTTTGTTGTTTGCTTTTTAGCTGTTCTTATGGTCGATTATGTTTAAAATGCTGGCGAAAACTGTGTATCGTGCTAAGTGTGTATAAAATGTGAGCAATGCAGTCCATTGAAGACTCATTGAAAAAAAAGTACAAAAAATCGAAAACAGTAGTATGGAAAACATAAACTAAAAGCTTACCGTTGAAAATGAGGGTTAAACGCTAAACAACGCTTAATCCTAGCCCTAAAATGAGCGCTTAACCCCAATCCGTAAAATGAAAGTTTAACCCTAATCAGTACATGAGTGCTTAACCCGAATCAGTATAATGAGTGCTCAACTTCTTAATGTGTAAATTTGCAGTTTTAACTTGTTTTTTGTTTATTTTTGCCGATGGCTCGCGTGACTCGCATGTCTCGCTGGTAGGCAGTTTGTCAAGACCCCATCGTGCTACCGTTCTATTGCCAGCTTGGGCAAAAAGTGAAAGTTTTAATTGGAATTTGTCCATCAGTCGTTTAAACCGCAGAAATTCATAGGAATAACTAAGAGAAAGACCTACATAAAAGAAACAAGGGGGTTCCTTTTTCTGTGGACTGCACATTTTGGTGTACTGTACATTTTGGCTCACTGCCATTTCACAACTTTTTGTATGAAAAACTTTGTTGACTTGTTGAGAAGTTTGAGTGCGCTAGACATGCTGCGTGTGCGAGACACAACCAGAACCGACGAGAAGCACTACGGTCATCGAAGAAATAAAACTGAACCGCGGAAAGATGAATATTTAACTCTTCTCTTAAAGCACACAGTCAAGCTGGGCGTTAGTCTCGTTCCCAGATCTCTTGTCACGAAGAGATCTGTGAACCGAGAGCTGCGAGAGGCCGATTTTCCAGTTCGATCCGAGGGCAAGCGAGCCAAGCACACAAATGCTCTGAGTTATTCTGAATTACTTCACCATTTTACACCGCCAGCAGATGTTGATTAAATTATTCACACGAGCACCAGTAGTTGGTATTGACAAGATGTCCGACTTTTTGACGGTTTTGACAAAGGTTACCACCAATAAAAGTAAAATATGGAATGCAAGGCGGATATGCACGATTAGTATTTACTCATGTTCTTTGCTCGCTATATATTTTAGCCAAACGAGGGCCTGATTTTAGGCTTAAACAAAGCTCATAACATACTCTTCTTTGTAATATTCTTCAAACAAAACTTTGTAACACTCAGTTTGAGAAGTTTATGAGCTTTGTGCCGTCGCGTTTCTGGCACTCCCTTCAAGCGCCCTTTTAGCTAATTACATGCGCAGTGAGGACATAATTTGGCCTAGCTTGCGTGATCTTCCGCAAAACCGAATGGAAAAGCACATTTGACACGTCAAATAATATTTAAAAATAGGATGGCTTCATTGCGATTGGTTAAATTCACTTGCATAAAATTAAAGCTGAATTTTAAGCGAAACGGAAAATCCTCTGGCTCACATCTGAAACTACGGATTCGAAGCTGGAGACCGTTGCCTTTCTCCCTCAACAAGTTGTTCATTTGCTTAACGTTAGCTCACTTTGATTGCAAGTTCCACTCAAAATGGTAATTGAAATATTAGCGCTGTCTTATATTTGAATATATTTTGTGTATATATTTACTTTAGAACCAGTGAATTATAGTATTGTTATTATCAGGATTTCATCCACTGCATAGGACGTCAACTTTGTACCACCTGAAATGCCAGCTCAGTTAAGCTTCCTTTTAAATAGTGTAATTTGGGAATTCATCCACAGAGAGGCTTAAAAACTATTAGCTCCTTAAATATATCATAATAATGAGTAGTCGTCCATCTTGTAAGCCGTTTTTGGTTGCTTTTGTTTCAGTGATCGGCGATAACAATTTAGCATTTCAGTCACAGACGCAAAAATTGTAAAGACTCTTGAAGACACGTAAACACTGTCTCTACTGAAATGAAACCGGCTGAGGACTTGAGAGCCCACCTTTGATTGTGTTTAGGGGCGCATTACAATGAATTCGATTAATGGAAAGCACTCCGCATTTTAGTTTTGAAACAAGACTAAGGAAAATTGGACTAACATTCAAATCCGTGACTACTAAACCGAATACCGTGTTTTCAGGCTACTGAGGATATTGTCGGATCTTTGTAGGAAAGAATTCAACACGATATGAGACTCCACAAAAAACGCGATATAGTTAAAATAGGATCATAGTAAATAGTTATCTTTAATAAGTGCCTCATATCAGCTTTGAACTCTCGGTAATTGAAACAGTAGACCTAAGATGAGCTATTTCTACTCCCAGTTTCTATTATTCTACCTATCTTTTACTTCTTCTGTCTTTAGTTTCGGGTGTAAAACCATGCGATCTCAGTTTTTACTGAATCTTTTTCATTTTAGCGTGAATGTATTTCAATACACGTTGGCCAAGCTGGATGCCAAATTGGCAACTCGTGCTGGGAGTTGTATTGCCTGGAACATGGAATTCAGCCCGATGGCCAGATGCCGAGCGATAAAACAATTGGTTATGGAGATGATTCTTTCAACACGTTTTTCAGCGAAACTGGAACAGGAAAACATGTTCCTCGAGCGCTTTTTGTCGATCTAGAGCCCTCTGTCATAGGTAGGCTTTACGTGTTTATAAAGTACATCTTATATGTATGATTTTGCAAGCCAGATTTCATCACGCCACTTTGCATGCCTTAATCATTTATACTGTTTGCTTTACATTTCAACTTGGTATACTTGAAACAAAAAGAATTTCGAAACTACTAATCAGCTTCCCAAATGCAGTTCTTTTCAGTTTTGGTTTGGAACAAAAATTAACGCAAGTTTTTATGCGTGTGCGTGGATTCGTAAAGGGATACTTTAAGGCCACGTGACCTCTGCGTTTAAATATGCTAGTTTAAACTAATTTTTAAGTGTAAAAATTTATATTGTACTTCTTTTTAAAGTAGTTATTATAATCACGCTGTCATTGCCCTCCCATGAGATAACGCATTTGTTACCTGCAAAAAATGCTTGTCACCTTTAAAATTCATTGCGTAGTAATTTTTTTTTCAATTCTCTATCTAATATATCTTCGCCTGAGTATTTCACCCAGTGGAGGAAAAAAAAAAAGGCGAAAATTCATTTGAATTTTATATTTATGGATGAGCAACTGACAATTGAGGTTGATTCGTTGTTACTGTCATATACTATTTAGGATCAGTGCCCACAGGGCCCTTTTACCGAAAAGACTTTGTTTGTGCAAACGGAAGATCGTTCTTTTGATTTGCATCTATACTACCGGTTCATTCGGTTCCAAAAACATTTTTGACAGCTGGTTATATTCATCTGCTGTGATGCTTTTTTCGATATATCCTTGGTAACAGTAGTTTTGCTAAAATATTTTATGCTAAAAAGTAGCTCATGTTAAAAGGTTGCCTTATAATTACTTGCGACACTTTCTCCAAACGGAACGAATTCAATTTGCAAGTTGCTGTCACCACTGCTCTTGGCGGAATACCAGCTAGCTTCTCCCGAAAACTCCCTAAAATAAAATGATGTTAGGGCTCTCCATTCTTTATTAGAAATATCCAATTTTGTAATTGGTGATAATACCCTGCGAGAAGAGGCTACTATTTCGCGCTAATCACCGGTGGCGAAGAAAACAAAAGCCTCTGCCGACAATCGTCTCATTTTCTAGATCTTGCGTGCGTGAATTTCGTCAAGCACTCGATCGCGATCAAATGGCGTTTTTTGTGGCTAAGACCGACGTATCTTTAACTGTTTGAAACACAACTTGTCGCAGTATATTAGACGAAAATGGTTTTAAGTTCTATTTCGTGGATGAAAAACAACAGGATTTAAAAAAAGCCACAAAACCTTTTTTGCCGACCACACTGATAGACGGCATAATATCCAATCCGACCTACAGTTATAATTAACGAGTTATCTTAAATTTATTCGTCCATATTTTAAGGTAAGAATGGACAGTTGGCAGCAGAAGTTACTTTTCTCACGTAATTGCCCAGGACGAAAAAGTAACCTCTGCTCGCAGGGTATTTTATATTAAATTTAAAGAAATAATCATTACAAACTCAAAAAAGGTTGTTGTCTGACTGCTGCCTGTCCGACCTCGTCCCGATAATTTTTCAATATATTAAGCAATGATAATATACATTTATGTTGAACCCACTCCAGTGTCTCTCTTGTACACGTCTAGCGTAAGGAAACAGCCGACATTTCGCGTGGCCACCACTGGTTTCACGGCGAAATGACTTTTGAAGGGAGAGCGGAGAAGTTTCATACTAGGGGGTAGTGCTTCTGATTAGACGCGTCGCGAGGGTGATTTGCTTCAACCAATCAGAACCACTACTCAGATCAGGGTAGTGACGCGTCATCAGTATGGAATTTCATTTCTGCGCTCGTTTCTCAGACGTTATTTCACAGGGGAACCAGTCATGAAATGCCGGCTGTTTTCTCCGCCCGTCCTTCTAGTTGTTCCACCGCATAACTACATATATAAACATGGACTATAAAGATTTGCGAGGTTTTCTAACTTTCTCTTACGATTTTATTAGATGAGATCCGTTCAGGGACTTATCGCCAATTATTTCACCCTGATCAACTTCTAACTGGTAAAGAAGATGCTGCTAACAACTATGCTCGCGGGCACTACACTGTTGGAAAAGAACAAATTGATTCAGTGATGGATAAAACTAGAAAGATGGTAATATTAATTTAAGTTGCTTATATATCAAAATACGCTAAATTTTGTAAGCCAGGAAAGTGAAGGGCGACTCGGATTAATAAACTGGGCATTTTGTTCGGGTGACTACCTGCTGTCCTACGACGAAGCTAATGTGCGGACTTCTAGCACCCGCTCTTTTCATAAGTCATTAGAGTAAGTAGAGTCTTCTTCACGGTAAATACGTTATTTTTGACATTTTGGCTTGTCAATTGGGAAATGCCTTGCCTTTTTAAATTGGTTAATTTAACACCCAGGGGGGTACTATGAATTTTCAGGTGACAGGGATGTTCGAATGGGTGCAAAAATCAATACCTAAAAAATTCCCACACCAAATTTCCGAGTCTTATTATCTGGTTTTATAAGTGACAGATGCAATGAAAGGCGTTAAATGTTAAAACAGCCACAAAACAACGTTTATGGCCGGGAAATTCGAGTACTACCATGAATCTTAAGATTGTTTTAAACCAGGAGTTCCTGTTTGAACCCCAAAATCTCCCTACTTAAATCAAACCACCCAAAAAAATACCTGTCAAATTTTCCAACCCAAGAAAATCATCCGGGAATCGAAAATTTCAAACCCGAAAAAAACCTTCGATCATCCCCGTTATCGTGAAATCTGGAGTACCGCCCCTGGGATTTAAAAATGCCAGGAAGGGTATGTTGAGGACGGAGGAAGAGAGGGCATCCCTTTTCACGCCCTTTTCTACATGTAATTAGTCTTGAAATATTTTCCCCCTTTATCCTTTCTTGGTTCAAATTTATGATCATTATTATGATGTTTATATGTCCCAAGGTGGGTTGTAAAAGATCCCTAAAAAGTGACATTGACAGAATCAAGATTCGGCGGTTGGGACACGGCATTACATTGCAAAGAAATATTCTTCAACGCCAATAAAATGAGGTTACGAATAACAGCAAACGTCATCATTTTGGATGGGTTCCGAAAGCTCTGTCTAACTTTTAAGAATTTGTAATCTGTACCCAGATCTCGCTCTGTTTTACACTGAAAAGTGGCCGTGGTAGATCTGGGTATGAGATTAAAGAATTTGTTGATGCCGTTCGGGAAAGAGTATTTCTTTGCAAATTTGATATTAGTTGAAACCAACTAACATTCCGGCTAACCAACTCACCATCGATTTTGTGATAGGCAGTGAATAGGGTACCGGCGTTGTGAACAGAAACAAAGCAATTCAAAGAGGACAAACGTCAAGTTGTTGTTGCTCGAAATATCTAAAAGTCGTAACTGCTCATCAATAGGATGCCTAAAATGTATGCAATTCCACAATTGGTTTCAGTTCCAACGACAGCGTCTTTAAGTGCCCAGCCTCGTTACGTGGTCCTCTAGCTTTAAAAAATGCGGAAAGACCTCGATCGTCCCTCTTTTACCTTTCCAGTTATAGGCCGCTCTGCACATGCAGTTCGCTATAATCGTACTTATCGCTCTACAATTGCCATGAGTTCTCTATACAGCTGAAAACGATTACTGTGCGCGTTTGCTCATTTGATGTCGTTTCTCCAACGTTTTTAGGCAGATCAATGCAGCGGTCTGCAAGGTTTCCTGATCTTCCATTCCTTTGGGGGAGGTACAGGGTCCGGTTTTACCTCTCTACTCATGGAGCGTCTCTCAGTAGACTATGGCAAGAAATCAAAGTTGCAGTTTGCTATCTACCCGGCGCCCCAGGTCTCTACGGCCGTTGTGGAGCCGTATAACTCTATCTTAACGACGCACACCACCCTGGAGCATTCCGACTGTGCCTTTATGGTCGATAACGAGGCTATTTACGACCTGTGCCGTCGGAACCTCGATATCGATCGACCGTCGTACACCAATCTGAACCGTCTGATTGGTCAGATTGTGTCGTCCATCACTGCCTCGCTTAGGTTTGATGGTGCACTGAATGTGGATCTGACTGAATTTCAGGTTAGTTGCTATTTTCATTATTACTAGAAATACGTGAATCGCAGAGCCTCGCGAAGCAAAGGCTAAGTAGCCTGCGTAGCAAGCGTTTCCGTGTGGTTTCGGAGCAAAGAAAGACCGATGAACTACGATTTTAGGTTTTGGCCTCGCGAAAAATGAAACGGGAGCTTTGACTCTCGTTACTTGTTCTTTGCGCGGAGTTGGGTTGCAGTAACTTGCTTCAACTTAATGCGCTCCTTGTTTTTTATTCCCGCTTATCGCCGGCCATGTTCAAATATCTGAAATATTGCTCCAATTCTTTCTCGAGTCTTAGGACAAAGTTTAAGGTGTGGACATTCAAATACAAGTCCCCATATCGGAAACACTTTTTAGTTGATACTGCTTTCTTTTTTCATAATTAAAGAAATGAAGTTATTCCTAACCTGCGATCAGAAAAAAAAACGGCTGATCGCAGGTTAAGTTTTTCCTTGATATCTTTAATTTTAGGCTTATTAGAAAAATGTAAAAGAAATTGTATTAACCCATGAAACACTTATAAGGAACTCCGAAGAACTGGTTCAAAATTTTTTCATCTACGCATGCCTTCCAGGTCGAATTAAAATCTGGGAGGGTTGTCTTTTTTGGGAGAAGCGAAAACAGGAAAACCCGGAAAAAATTTTCTCCGGCTTTGAAGGGACGAGAACCAACCGTCAGCAAACTTATGTCATAGACGCCGAAAGTAAATTGAACAAACAACAACTAAGGCTCTTGGCTTACCTTACTTTTCAGACCAATTTGGTGCCATACCCCCGTATACACTTTCCGTTGGCCACTTACGCTCCAGTTATCTCGGCCGAGAAAGCCTACCACGAACAGTTGAGTGTCGCTGAGATCACAGCTGCGTGCTTTGAACCTGCTAACCAGATGGTGAAGTGCGACCCTCGTCATGGAAAATACATGGCCTGCTGCCTGCTGTTTCGTGGGGACGTGGTGCCGAAGGACGTTAATGCAGCTATTGCGAGTATTAAGACCAAAAGAACTATTCAGTTTGTGGATTGGTGTCCGACAGGATTCAAGGTACATAACTTTAATCAGTTCCTAGTGATCAGTAGACTTTCCTACGCGTCCCCGCGCGGACTTCGCGCTCTTGGCTTGCAACGGAAAAAGCCCTGGGAACGAGGTTGCGAACTTGGCTTTGGTAGCTCGTCATGGTTTTAAGTCTGACTGACCAGTTATTGGTCAACTTTTGGTGTACTCCACAGAATCAACCCAACAAAGTATGAACGAATAGTGAAACAAACGAATTAATTGCAGTGAATCAAACCACAGGACAGTTAAGTGTTAACTGTTAAGGACACGTTACAAATGAGAAGAAAACTGGGGCCGAAATGCGTCCCGCAATTGTTTCTGGGATCGTTACTGGGAACACGCCGGTCAACTATTGGCCAATGTAACAGTAACAGCCCCAGAAGTCTTCGCGAGAGTTAACTCGCCCCAGTTTCCTTCTCGTTCTCAATAAGCCCGAATAAAATACCCAGTATAACTCAGACTTTTCCTTAAAACTAGGTCGGAATCAATTACCAGCCTCCCACGGTCGTTCCTGGAGGCGACCTCGCTAAGGTGCAACGCGCAGTGTGTATGTTGAGCAACACCACCGCTATAGCAGAGGCCTGGGCACGACTGGATCACAAATTTGATCTGATGTATGCCAAGCGTGCTTTTGTCCACTGGTACGTGGGAGAGGGGATGGAGGAGGGAGAGTTCTCTGAGGCACGAGAAGATCTAGCAGCTCTGGAGAAGGATTATGAAGAAGTTGGCGTAGATACAGCGGAGGGGGAGGAAGAGGACGTTCAAGAGTATTGAGGCACCGGTTTATTAGATTCAGGCTCGATAAATTTAAATTAAACAAGGTTCGTTTTCTTGGCTTGTCTAAAAGAATAGCGTTAAATCAATGTAAGAGAAATTAAAATTGTAGGGAAAAGTTTCAGGAGTTTGTTGATTTGTTACAAATTAAATGTATCTTGGACTTGCACTAGAGCAAAATAAAGGCTTTGTTGTTGGAAGGCAAAACGTCCTTCATTGAAATTGAAAGTTTTGATCGTGAAGTCATATATATATTTTTGTCACGGCCTCTACAGAAACTCGCTAATACTGCGAAAGCGTTACTCAGGGGCACCCAACGGCGGCTCGGAAGAAATACTTCAAGCACTTCTTATAGGAGTCGAACCTATGGCCTTCTGGCTACTAGTCTAGATCAGGGGAACACAACGACGATTTCCTCCTTATTTATACTTTGAGAACACTTTTTGGGTTATCCAGAGTAGTTTTAGATCTCTAGAAATACCTTCTAAGTGGCGCTATAGAATTTCTATCTGTTGGGTCATCCTAGGAGACTTTGAGCTTTTTCGAAATTATTAGGACTTCAGTATTGTTTTCCCGAAAATTTTAGACGCAGTTAATCGTTTTACGAATGTGAGAATTTTTCTGATTCCTATCTCAATCACATTTTTGAATTCGAAAATTTTCGGTTTCCTTCTTCTACGAAAAACAGCATTACTTGGGGAGTCAAGTGTGAGAAATTAACCTTCAGAAAATTGTAGGAAATTTATCAGACAAGTTTCGAAAATTGAGCATGAATGGAACGGTTTAAATCGGCCCCTTCCTCAAGCAATAGAAAATTCAAGGCAATATTTTCTTCTCCGAACAGATTTTTGACAGAAAACAGTCCTTGGGTGCCCCTGCTAGATGCTCTGTCACTAGGCTACAGGCTGGGAGACCTGTGCGAACTATAAGGCCACTTAACCACGTTCATAAAAGTTAGCATCAAAAAATTTATATCGATCGGATGGAAATCTGTAGGTAAAATAAAGTCCAAGGAACCAGAAGGAGGACAGCAACATACGCTCAACCAAATGATCATCATTCTCCTGGCCACCTGCTTAAGAAATAAGTCCTGGGTTCAAACCTTTTACAGTTTTACACGACGTTTTGTTACGATTGCGGGTCCAAGCACATCACGATCAACTTTCCAGGCTTTTTTTCTTTCTGTGTTCCTCTTTCCGCAGAAAAAGAAATACAGTTTGAATTGAGACATGAAACCCCCCTTGAAAANAGATACAGCGGAGGGGGAGGAAGAGGACGTTCAAGAGTATTGAGGCACCGGTTTATTAGATTCAGGCTCGATAAATTTAAATTAAACAAGGTTCGTTTTCTTGGCTTGTCTAAAAGAATAGCGTTAAATCAATGTAAGAGAAATTAAAATTGTAGGGAAAAGTTTCAGGAGTTTGTTGATTTGTTACAAATTAAATGTATCTTGGACTTGCACTAGAGCAAAATAAAGGCTTTGTTGTTGGAAGGCAAAACGTCCTTCATTGAAATTGAAAGTTTTGATCGTGAAGTCATATATATATTTTTGTCACGGCCTCTACAGAAACTCGCTAATACTGCGAAAGCGTTACTCAGGGGCACCCAACGGCGGCTCGGAAGAAATACTTCAAGCACTTCTTATAGGAGTCGAACCTATGGCCTTCTGGCTACTAGTCTAGATCAGGGGAACACAACGACGATTTCCTCCTTATTTATACTTTGAGAACACTTTTTGGGTTATCCAGAGTAGTTTTAGATCTCTAGAAATACCTTCTAAGTGGCGCTTTAGAATTTCTATCTGTTGGGTCATCCTAGGAGACTTTGAGCTTTTTCGAAATTATTAGGACTTCAGTATTGTTTTCCCGAAAATTTTAGACGCAGTTAATCGTTTTACGAATGTGAGAATTTTTCTGATTCCTATCTCAATCACATATTTGAATTCGAAAATTTTCGGTTTCCTTCTTCTACGAAAAACAGCATTACTTGGGGAGTGAAGTGTGAGAAATTAACCTTCAGAAAATTGTACGAAAATTTTTAGACAAGTTTCGAAAATTGAGCATGAATGGAACGGTTTAAATCGGCCCCTTCCTCAAGCAATAGAAAATTCAAGGCAATATTTTCTTCTCCGAACAGATTTTTGACAGAAAACAGTCCTTGGGTGCCCCTGCTAGATGCTCTGTCACTAGGCTACAGGCTGGGAGACCTGTGCGAACTATAAGGCCACTTAACCACGTTCATAAAAGTTAGCATCAAAAAATTTATATCGATCGGATGGAAATCTGTAGGTAAAATAAAGTCCAAGGAACCAGAAGGAGGACAGCAACATACGCTCAACCAAATGATCATCATTCTCCTGGCCACCTGCTTAAGAAATAAGTCCTGGGTTCAAACCTTTTACAGTTTTACACGACGTTTTGTTACGATTGCGGGTCCAAGCACATCACGATCAACTTTCCAGGCTTTTTTTCTTTCTGTGTTCCTCTTTCCGCAGAAAAAGAAATACAGTTTGAATTGAGACATGAAACCCCCCTTGAAAAGTTCACCAACTTTATTTATTATAAGCAAAGATTTTAACAAAGAGGAAGTTATTGCAATTGGTCCTAGGAGCATCGACTTTTAACTAAAATTTCCATATAATGTCTAGCCCGCTTGAGAGGGGTACCTGCGCAAGAGCAAGTGATGTCACTGGTTCCCTAATTTTACCCTCAAGCTCCATTTTGAATCAATAAACTTGTCATCTGAAACGATCATCGATTTAGACTGCAAAACAGTCCGTATTTTTGCGTATTCAAGTACGAGTGAGTTCGTGAGGCTCGCGCGCTTCGCGTCACACTTTACCGATCTCTTTACTGACTTTGTGAAAAAAACCGTCTGTTTTGCAGTCTATCATCGATTTTCCAAAGTAAGCAAAAAGCATGCCCAGCAGAAGAGGCCTGAACTGAGCAATGTGTATATTCTGAGCTTAGGTGAATTTGCAGCATCTGAAAGGACATCGTGTTTTAGGCTAAAATTTGCCAGTTAGGTCCCCTCTATACAAGAACCTGTTTCGCCTAAAATTTGAAAAAGGTTCTTACTTTCCAAAACGTGTAAAAAATTTCTGTATACTTTGGCAAATTAGACCCTGACCCTCTCACTGAGGAATATATTGGTCTCACGTGACATTCGGCCGACTATGAGATTCATGAAGGCTGTGACGTCACTGATTGTTTTAAGTTATTTATATGTACGTCAGCAGGTTATGAGCTCCTGACGTCAGCAATAAACCACAGCATATTAAGTTTACATGCAGCTTAAAATTAATAGGGCTCGAATCGCCAGCAACATTTGACAAGACGAGTCAATATTTTGAAGGGCACAAGGTTAGCACATGTGCGACACGTGCTTGGCAATATATATCTACCATCGCTGTACAGGGAATCAGTGGAAGAAAATAATGATAGTTTGAGCTTTGATGTTTAATTTTAACAGCATGTCATTTATATCTGCTTCTGTTCATTGATCCAATTTGCTTATTTGTGAACTTTTGGACGAACGCCAGAAAGGGTTTCTTCACTGCATGTGCCTGTTGGGCGTTTGGAGACTGAATTCTGTTTGAACAGATAACTATTCGCAAAATTTTAACATTCTTGAATAGTACAAAGCAGTGGAGTAAGATCCAATAATAAATAACGTATGCCTGGAATTAGACCAGTTTTGAGGCGGGTTCAACCAATGAAATTGTAAAACAACCGGCACAGCAAGTACACTTCACAAGATTTGTTGATTGGACTTTAATCCAAATAAAATGAAATGCTCTAAAATTGAAATGCAGTTAATATCCTAGAACAGATATTCAAACTACCCTGGGCTGTTAGAGATATTACAAATAATATTAAAGACAAAGCAAAGCTAGTCACCGTGGCGTAAAACAAAAGTTTTGCTTAGTTAGGCATCAGTACCGACAAATGGCCGGTATCGTATAAGTGCAGACTGAGTGACTCGTC